CTGCTCGCTTCCAACTTTTCTTCTGCAGCCGCCTCACCTCTCTCAGCCTTCACAGCCTTGGTGTGGAACAGACTCTGGCTGAAGGGAATGTAACGGCTGGTTTGACCCTCCGTGCAGACCACGGAAACTTTCTCTGTATCAGCAATAAGGCTGTTTCGCTTTCTTATCACGTGTGCGTGCCCTGGAGTAGCACGCTTAATTTCCTCCAACGACTTTTCCTTTGCATTCATAACTTGGCGAACTCTTTGGGGCACAAGGTCTAGCTTTCAGCCTCATTTGGCATTCAACGTGCCTTCCTCACTAGGCTTAAGCATTTCTAACTTTTCATTTAATGTATGACATATGCGAGTCTTCCTCTCACGTGAACACCTAGAGGTCACTGTTGGGTTATTAACTGGCCTATTTCAATATTGTCATGTCTCAGGGAAAAGACTCCAGAGAAGAGGGAGAGGGATGGGAACAGCCAGTCCAGTCGATGGAGCAGTCAGAATACACACACTTACCAATTAAGTTCACCATCTTATGTGGGTGTAGTTCATGGTGCCTTAAAGCAATTACAATAGTAATCTCAAAGATCACCGATCACAGATCACCATAACAAATATAATAATAATGAAAACGTTTGAATGATCATTACCAAAATGCGACAGAGAAGCAAGAAGTGAGCAAATGCTGTTGGAGATATGGCGCTGACAGCCTTGCTCAAGACAGGATTGCCACAAACCCCCATTTTTAAAACGTGCTACTGCTAAGTGCATTACAGCAAAGCTCAATAAAAGGAGTTTTGCCCATTTCCATAAATGCCACATATCAAGTGCAAATAAAAACCAGATTTCGGGAATTTGGCCAGAAGGAGAAGCGGCTTTCCTCGGTGACACCCATCTCACCTCCTTCTCCTTGTTGAGCAGCACCAGCTGGCTGTCCGTGAGGATGCAGTACCTCCGCTCCCACGTTGTCGTTTCCGTGTAGGGTGACTGGCCGCAAGACAGACGATGCGTGGGTGGCCCCTTCACATCTGGGTGACAAACATGAAAAACAAAAGTGAGAATGCATTATCATGCTGACTTAGGTAGACCAGGATCTCAAATGTAAGATTCTCCAAAATCATATTAAATAAAGAGTTTCAAACATGAACCTAAATGGTAAATTGAAAACTTCACTTCCTCTTAATAAAAACTGTTCTACACAGAGGGGAAAATAGGCCGTTTAGTCTGCAGGAAAGAAGGCTGAAACACTAGGAGGATTTGTTAGCACGAACTTGACACAGTAATGACCATGGTACATGTACTACAACAATGGGAAGTTGCTTCAGAGCTAAACTAACATCATTCAAAATGGGGGGGGGGGGTGGTGACTCAGAGAAGAAAAGACAGAACCTCTAATCTTTAGGAAGAAATTGTGTCGCATGTACACTTCGAGAGTACTGCTGACCCCACTCAAGAGAATGAAATTATTAACCGCCAGTGTCTTCAAAATGGCTTTATTTCTAGTCACGCATGAGAATTAAAAAAATATTTAAACGATAGCATCATATTACCACTAGAGGCCAGTAAGATCTTAAAAACACAGAAAGCAGTTTCTGCAAGGAAAGATCCAAACATATTACCATCATGCCTCTTACAGGTGGAGGTACATATCAGAGCTAAATGTCTAACTCTTCTCAAATGTCTCATTTCCCTATTAAATACCAAGTGGTTATGATTACTTCGTTACTTTAAAATTCTTTGGTACAAACTGTTCACTCATTTGGGCTGCTATACAACATGGAACACATCTTAATCAAAAGTACACATTAGATCCATTAAATAAGGCTTTACGACAGTTGAATATTAAAAGTTCTTTAGCCAACGAAGGACTAATTCCTGTCAGGATTATACTGAAGAGATAATTTTAAATGCATTATTTATTACTATTCAGTTGTTTTCCCAGAGGAACATCTCAAACTGGAGAAATTAGAAAACAAACACCCATGAGGGCAGGAGAGTTGTAAATCAAAAATAAACGCATTTTATCTATTACACAAGTGTTTTCATTAGTATTACTGTCTACAGACTTTTAGGGTTTTTTAAATGTTTATTTAGTTTTGAAAAAGAGACAGAGAGAGCAGGGGAGGTGAAGAGAGGGAGTACAGAGGATCTGAAGAAGGCTCTGCACTGACAGCAGAGAGCCCAATGTGGGGCTCGAACCCACGAACCACAAGATCATGACCTGAGCCAAAGTCGGATGCTTAAGCAACAGAGCTACAGGGGCCCCAAGATTTTTTTTCAGAGAGAGAGCTTGAGCCAGGGAGAGGAGAAGGAGGGAACAGAGAGAGAGGGAAAGAGAGAGACAGAGACAGAGAGACACAGAAAATCTTAAGCAGGCTCCACACTCAGCGCAGAGGCACCATGTGGGACTTGATCCCACAACCCAGGAACATGACCAGAGCCAAATCAAGGGTCAGACGCTCAACCAACTGAGCCACCCAGGAGCCCCAGACTTTTAGTTTTTTCAATCACAGTCTGACAGGTATGGCTTCAAGGAGATACAAATAATGTCCTAGGTATCTTATACTAGAATCACCCAAATATGCAATGGTACAGCTGGAGTTCTGTCGGAAATAAACAAGGCAGGACTAGGGCACTTAGATGAATGGCTTTTTTTGCACTGTCTTGTGTGACCAATATTATCTTCAGTGCTCCTTCTGGCTTAACTTCCTTTGCTTTCTAAAAATCTATTTAAATGCGTTGCTCTGCATATGTAGGCAAGCTTATCAGCTACCCTCCAAATAATTCACAGAACCCACGTAACTTACTAGGGCTCAGCTGGAGATGTTACTAAATCTTAGCTCACTGCCTCTCCTCTTCTGGGTCTATCTCCTCTGCGCTATGCACAGCAGTATTTGCTACACATCTAGCTTCTCCGTTCCACAAACTCTCTCTTCCCCGCCCTCAACTCCTCCCCTTGTGTTCTAACAGAGCATCGAAAATTATTTTTATTTGTCTTGAAAATTATTTTAAAGTTTTCTTTATACTTCAACATTTCCTGAATTTATCACAAAAAGCTTGAAAGAAGCTGACTCTTAATCCTCTTTGACACATATGGAAGATTCTTGCCTGTACTTAAAAACCATGTCAAAGCTGATTTTCTTCACGATTTGGACAAACAAATGGGTTAGATTTTTACCACAATGTAGGCCTATTTTTAGAGTCAAGTACCAACTCCACTTCAACACAGAGGGATGCACCTACTTTATGTGGAAATGTGGTGGTTTTGTGGCCTAGACAAGTTTTCATTCAAATGACTAACCTTCTTACGTAAGTTAGTTGTGGGTGACCTACTGCCCACTGTAATTTAATTTGAACAGCAATTTTGTGATCTATACTAAGCAAGAAGACGTTGATAAACTCCATAAAAATTAGAATACAGGACACTATATTTATAGCATAACGTAGGTTTCCTGACAAAATATAAATCTGGATCAGAACTGAAATTAAGAAAACCTACATTCCCTTCCCTGTGTCACCCTGAGTAATTCTCTTAAAGTCTCACTGTCTGATGTTCTCCCTTTCTCCAATCTTGGGCTTTGCTCCTAGTTTCTTCATGGTACTGTGAAACAAGACAATGTTTCACACAGTATTTTGGGACCCCAAACTATTCCTCCCCAGTGTGACAGGTAGAATGAAGTAGGGAGTAATGTCGCCCTACGTAAAATGTTCTGTCTGTCTGAATGATGAGACTGGCTAATGCTGTTATAAATTTTGTAGTTTCACATTTATTATTTAATACCCACTTAAAAAAAATCACATTGTAAAACTGTATACCAAGGAATAAAACAAGAAAGAAGTTAGAATAAGTGATTTGGGGGGGTTCTTTTTAGCCCTTCTGAATTAAGGCTTAAAAGGCATTTAAATAACAAGATAAAATAAGATTTTAAAATAACCTATAGATTTAATTTGTTCAGTTTATCATGTCCTCTTTTCCATGGTTAAATGAAGATTTAACAGTAAAACCTATCTACTAAGACTATATTACCACAGGACAAGCTCACCTTACCAATACGACCCACCAAGCAACCAATCTCTCTTTCTCTCTCTCCCTCTCTTTCCCTCCCCGCCCCCACACCCACCCCCGGCTCTAGTAACATACTTCTAACTTCTGACTTCCAATTATATTTAGTGTCTAAAGTTCACCAGAGAAAAGGATAACATAGAATTACAAGTAAGAATCTTAATAGCAAGACTGGAAATAATTTTGCTTTGCAGTGCCCCTGTCCTATAAGAATACTAAGGGCACTGGACGCTGGATTTATTATAAAAACTGAATAATTTCAGAAGCATTAAAAAGCATCTGAGTTTATTCAATGGGTCTTTTTGAAAAGTACTTCTCTAAACGGGCTATTATCTTGTGGACTAGTAACTCTCAAATTTTTTTGATCTCAAGATCCCTTTAAACTCTTAAAATTATTGAAGAGTTCAAAGAATTTTTTATAGGAGCCATATTTAATATTTACCATATTAGATATTAAAACTAAGAAATATTTAAAATATTTATTCATTAAATGATAAGACACCTACTGCATATTAATATAAATAACACATTTTTTAAAAATTTTTTTTAACATTTTATTTATTTTTGAGACAGAGAGAGACAGAGCATGAACGGGGGAGGGGCAGAGAGAGGGGGAGACACAGAATGGAAGCAGGCTCCAGGCTCTGAGCCATCAGCCCAGAGCCCGACGCGGGGCTTGAACTCACGGACCGCGAGATCGTGACCTGAGCTGAAGTCGGACGCTCAACCGACTGAGCCACCCAGGCGCCCCTAAATAACACATTTTTAATGAAATGTAACTATTTTCCAAAACAAAATACGTGAGAGCAGTGACCTTGTTTTAAGTTTTGCAAATCTTTTTTAAAGTCTGGCTGAATGGGAGACAGCTGGATTCTTATATCTGTTACAGCATTCAATTTATTTATGTTGCTTTGGTTGAAATATATGAAGAAACTCTGAATCACTCAGATACGCAGTTGGAAGGAAAGAGTTGTTTTTTGTTTTTAATTTTTTAAATGTTTATTTATTTTTGAGAGAGCGTGAGCGGGGGAGGAGCAGAGAGAGAAAGGGAGACACAGAATCTGAAGCAGGCTCCAGGCTCCGAGCTGTCAGCACAGAGCCCGACACGGGGCTCAAATTCACAAACCGCAAGATCATGACCTGGGCCGAAGTCGGACGCTTAATGGACTGAGCCACCCAGGCGCCCCAGGGAAGAGTATTTCAATAGCATTTTTAGATAAATGTGGATCATCTTTTTTAATACTAATCCAAAACCTGACAAGAGGATGCTTCTTAACAGTGAGTGAAATGTGGAATGTGACACCACAGCAATGAACTTTTCATGCTCGGCTATGTTAAAAATCATTGGTGTACCTTACCCTTTGAATGGATTTTCAATGCATATGTATGAGTTTTTAACATTATGCACTGATCATTTCCAAAACATTGGTTCATTTAGTTTTGCAGATCTTCCAAATTATGACACCTTCCATCATGTAATATGAAAAAAATCACATTCATTAATCTTCAGAAAAGTCTTGACTTTATCATAGAAGTCTTTACTGGGAAGCTATCAAGCATTTTTCGTCTTGGATTTTATCATTAGCAATAAATACTGTTGTTTTTTTCCCTCTAAATGAAAGGTTTCTGTCTTTCTTTTTCCAGAAAATATCTGTCAAATAACCAACACAAAAGAACTATAGTTCGTCTTGCAGTTGTGTTTCAGGTAAAAATGGTGTTCAGTGAAAACCAGTGGCAAGTTCAGCTTTCAACCCAACTTGCGCAGAACGCCCTCGGTTTGATAACCATCGTACGTCAGCCGGCAGCTCGTGAGCGCTTCCCGCGTCATCAGACAGAATGTTTAAAAAATGTGAACTCTAGGGGCGCCTGGGTGGCGCAGTCGGTTAAGCGTCCGACTTCAGCCAGGTCACGATCTCGCGGTCCGTGGGTTCGAGCCCCGCGTCAGGCTCTGGGCTGATGGCTCGG